AACTCCATGTCTTTCCCAGGCATAAATGCCTTGATTTCCATGACCTATTCATTTATAGGTACACTGGTAAAAGAATCCTTTCCATGTGATACTTTCCATACCCAGAGCTGCCTTAATCATGAAAGTTATTCCCTGCAATCTACCTTTTCAGCTCTTTCTGCTTTGGTAATTTAAAAAAGGATTCTTTCTCCAGTTTCTGTCTAGTCATTTATGCTCTGGCCAAGAAAAAAATCTTTCAACTCCATGACTTCCAAAGAGGTCAAGTTTTGTAACTTGTGAATGAACTTAGTTACATGTCTTCCATAGCTGTCTGTATTTTGGCCACAAAAGTAGTCTTCAATCCATATATTTCCTTAAGTGGTAGCTGCCTTGAATTCATAATATTTACTTCATATTCTTGTCTTTTCAAGTTATGCCTGCTTTAATAATTATTGAAATCTTCCATTTCCATATATATCTTTGAAAGCCATAGATTCTTTTCCTACAAATAACTCTTTGGTGATTTGTTTTCCAAGGTAATAACTTCTTTGGTAATGAAGATTGTTTCCATTTCCATCCTGACTCATGAAATGTCATCTACAAACTGTATTTCCCACCATAGATGATATTGTCAGGCAATATACTTTCCACCTCTGTTTTTTTCTTAATCATAGTAGCTTGATTTATTAAAGCATTTCATATCAATATATTCCTTAGAGTTACTACTCTGCTTGTAAAAGAAGTATTCCAATGCTAGGTCTTACATAATTATTAAGGACTTGGGTTGCAAAACAGGTCACCAACTACAGTGTCTTCTCCACTCAGTTTTTGGATCATGGTAGAATTTTTCCATATCCCACAGCTGCTCTGGCAAAACATAGAGTTCTCTGTATATCTTCCCCTACTGTTGCTGCTTTGGTAATGAAAGAAATCATCCATCACTGTGTCTTCCATAGCCGGGTATACTCTTGAGAAGAAAGCAGTTTTCAACTTCTCTGTCTTCTCAAGCAGAGTATGGCTGTAGTTGTGAATGTCTTTCAAATCCATTTTCTCATAAACTGAAACTGCTTGGTAATGAAAGAAGTCTTCCATTGCTGGGACTTCCAAATCCATATCTACCCTGCTCAAATAAATCTTCCTACATTTCATCTTCCACAGGCTTAGCAAAATTGGTCAGAAAAAATTTCCTACCTCAGGCCAAGAAATAAATCCTGCACCTTCATGCTTTTCCCAGGCACATCTGCTTTGATAATGAAAGAAGTCATTCATTGCTCATGCCTTTCAAAGTCTTTGCTCTGGTTATGAAATTGATCTTTAAACACTGTATCTTTTACAGCTTCTTACATTTAAAAAAACTTACAACCTCTTGTCTTTTCCAACTATAGCTGACATTATCACAGAATTATTTTTCCACCATTAAGAATTCTCAGGTCATAGCTGCTTTGATCATAAGAGCAGACTTTCCACATTCCTTGCTATTTAGGATTTAAGAAGTTTTCTAAATCCCTGTCTGTCCAGCCATATCTATTTTTGTCACATGCAAAGTTTCCAATTCCCTATTTTTCTCAACCATAACTACTTTAGTAACCAAACAATTTGCCTAAATCTGTGATCCCCCCAGCGACATTTGCTTTGATCATGAATGAAATCTGCCTATATAATCACAAAAAAGTTCCCTCTTTTTTTTGCCAGGCATTTCTGCTCTGGCCACTGAAAGATTTTCTGCTCATATGTCTTACATGGCCATAGCTGCTTTATGATAATGGAAGTCTTATGTCTTTATCTTCCCTGACCCTACCTTATTTAGTCAAAGATGTATTTTTTCTCACCTTCTCCAGTTGTACCTGCTATTGTGAAAGTACTCTTCCATTTCTTTTCTTGCCATAGCTATTCTAGTCATTGAAGTTCTCTCCTAATTCCATATTTTCTCCACAAATAATAGCTGTGCTCCTGAAATAGACTTTGCAGCATCATATCTTTCCTGGCCTTATTTGATCTGTTCAAGAAAGAAGTTTTTGACCTCCATTTCTTACAACTCTTCCAACCATCTCTATTTTGTAGTTACTTTGGGTAAAAAGGAGGTATTTCACCTTCCTCTTTGCTTCATCAGTAAGTGTATATTTTAGAAAATAATTTAGCTTTACCTCCTGTACCAATAACTATCGAAATATGGTCTAATATTCCCTAGGGGTCCTTGAGACCCTTTTAGGTAGTCCACCAATCATCTCTTTTAAAACTGTGTATCTGTAGAAAGCATGATTTTTTTGTAGATTTTTTTCTCTATACCAAAATAACATTATAATATATTGAATATAGGAACAAATATGAGAATCAATTAAACGAGGCATTAAATAGATACATAAAATGTAGAGCACGTCCACTCTTCTTGCTTTTTTAGATAATTAATTTTGATACAAATGTTGCTTATGTTAACATGTAATGGGTTTGGTATTATTTTAAAGAAATTCATACTTAAATATTATTTAAAATTTCAGCCTTCATTTCCACTTTCATAAATTCCAAAAGACATAACTCACATAAGCTTCCATATATTTTTTTAAGAGTGTTGAAGGGTTCTGAGACCAAAATGTTTGAGAACTATTGCTCCATGCCTTCCTTCACCATGGCTGTTGAATTAAAGAAAAAAATAATTATTTAGGGTTAGGGATATAGCTTAGCTCAGTTGGTAAAGTGCTTGCCTCACATGCACAAGGACTTGGGTTCAAAGCCCAGCACCACATACACAAAACAAAACAAAATAAAACAAAACAAAAACTAATTCTTTGTCTTCAAGATTGGTACTGACCATAGTTCTTACTACCATTTGGTCTTTGCCAAGCTGGGCTACTTTGTTCACTTAAAAGTCTTCTACTTTCATGTCTGACTTGACTGTGGCCAGTTCTTTCTATTTTTTTTTAAATAAAGAATTGTTTCCTTTCCCTTGCTTCAAATGCCAGAAGTACTTAGTTATAAGCCTTTGACTTGTAAGGCTTTATCAGTGAACATGATTCAGGAAGGAAATTTTCTATTTCCTAGATTTCAATGGTCAAGGCTGCTTTGTTCAGGAAAAACAACTCTTCTAGGAAAAATTTCATCTCTTTTTCTGCAATGATTACATATACATAATTTATAAATTTTTATCATTCTCCCGCCCCATTTACCTTAGAGATATCTATCCTATTTATGAAAGTTTTCCACTTCCTTACATGCTATGGTTACAGTAACTTAACACAATTTATTTCAGATTTCTAGCTTTTATACCAATGGCTATTTTGTTCATGACAGATGTCTTCCAACCTTCATCCCTGCCTGCTTCAGCCATAGTTCCTTTATTAATAAAAAAGTTTCATATCATTATGTCTGCACTGGGCATCAAATTCTCTTCTTTTACATTTTAAAAAAGAATAGAACAAGTCTTCCTATTCTCAGTCTCAGCAGTAGTTACTTTTGTCCCCCAAAATACACATAGTTACCACATTCTTGAAGTAAGTTTTCCCAAAACTTTCTTTACAATGGTCACCCTGTTCAAAAGAGTTGTCTTCTACCCTTTACATCTGTCCAGCTGTAGCTACTTTTTCATTCAAGAAGTCTTCTAACTCCTTGTTTTAACCTGTCACAGATAACCACTTGTTCATGAAAGAACACTTTTTTTTAAGTGCTATCCATGGATAACATATTTAGAAATTACTTCTTCTATCTCCAGCCTCTCTATGTTCACCAGCCACAGCAAGCTTATCAACAAAACAAACCTCTTCTTTACATGCTTGCAAGGGACTTATCTACATTATTTAGCAAAAAGACTTCCATATCCACATCCCTGCTGAAATAAATTTTCCCTCCCTTCCCTTCTCTTCCATCCCACTCACATTTTTCTACCTACTTGTCTGAACCAATGGTGGATCCAGTAGTAATGAAATAAGTCTTTAATCTCTTTTCATCCTCTAGCCATGGATACCTTGCTCTTTGATGTTTCCACTGTGCCTCCTTGAAGTGGCCATGGCTGTTTTTTTCCCCCTAAGTAAGTCTCCTACCTTCCTATAGAGGAAGTATTGCAAAGTGGTTAGGAACAGAGTGGATGCAGGAATACTATTTGGACTTGAATTATGGCTCTGTCACTTACTAGCTGCATAACCTTGATCAGTTCATTGCATTGCCTCAGCTCTCAGATTCCCTTGTTAATGGTCATCTTGTGCATAAAACAAATCTTCTAACCACATGGTTCCTCTGTCCATGAGAATTATATTCTTTCATCTCCTTTACAGCATACGCTATGACTACTTCATTCTTGAAAAAAATCTTCCACCATCATGGTATCCTTAACTATCACATATTGACTAAGGTGTCTGTTACATGTTTGAATCCTGCTGATGAAAGCCTTGCATGTTTCACATCTTTCTGCCCATTGTCAAAACTCTACAGACTAATATATATCAAACCAAGTACTAGAATATGACTCCTGTAATGTCTCCTAATGATAATCTAGCTGAGTTAACTATCTTATTACCATGATATTCTCTTTAAAAATAAATTTTATTATGTATATTTAAGATTTATAATATGATTTCTGGGATACATGTAGATAGATAGTGGAGTGCCACTACAGTAAAATATATTAATGTATATATCATCTCACATAGTTATTTTTTTTGTGACAAGAGCAAATAAAACCCATATATTTAACAGAAATCCCAAACACAATACACTTTTATCAACTGTAGTTTTCATTTGTGGATATTAGATCTCTTGACTCACTCATCCATATATTCCCTACTTTGATATTCCCTTTTAACAACTTGTCCACATTGAAGATTCTTTTCTAGACAAATTGTGATTGCCTACATTGATACCTCCTTATATCTCCTAGTTAAACCAGTATCTTGACAGTATTCAAAGAGACATATAAAAATTTGTTAATCAGTACAAAGTTTCAGGCAAGAACATTCAAGTGGGAAACTCCGTTTTATTTTGCTCCCTGTAATTTTGCATTTATATCTATGCCAATTCATATGCATTTATTCCAGTTTTCTTCTCTATGATGTGGAACTCCATCATATACTCTACTGACTGTATCAAACCAAAGAAGGAGAATCCAAGTATAACATGGAATGGATGTTATAATCATGGTGAGATAATGGCCAATTCAACACCTGGTCCTTGGAATGAGATATAGATCACACAAAACAATCATTGAAACTCTCTAGCAAGCTCAGGAATGCACCAGAATGCATTAAGATTTTCTATGGTTAAACATGAAAAAATCAGTCTGCCTGAGAAAGAGGATCTTGGAGATATATGTCCATTCCAACTTAACTGGATCAAATTTTCCAAGAAAACACAGGTTTTAACTTGTAAAAAATCACGTATGTGAAATGTTCATTTTTAGAGAATAATCACCATTTCAGCTCAGACCTTTGTTCCTTGTCTCCAATATCCTGGATCGCTAAACACCATTTGAAGTCACATTTTACTGATCCCCAACTGAGGCCCACTTTAATGCTTGGTGAATTTCTTTGGACATATGTTTCTGGCTTGACTTTGGTACTTTCCTTCAGACTTCAAGTTTGATATTTTTAATTTAGGTCTACAAGCCATGACTGAAGGCACTTTGGATTTTTACCTGTCTGTGTCACCTTTTTGCTTAAACTCTCAACAGCATGAATTAATTAGAAGCTTTGATATACCATTCAAAGAAAGGATAATACTGAACATTCAAAGAAAGGATAATATTGGGAAAGTACAAGCAAACTGTCAGACATGAGAGCTAGAGCCAGTCCACTGGTATCACTAGGTTCTCCCTCCCACGGACCCACTGCAACAACTTCAATGCTAGTCTGACTCCATGTCTGAGAAAATAAAACTGAGAAATCCCTATGGATTGGCTTTCTTATAAAAAAAATTATAAAGCCTATCCAATTAAAAAGTACCTACGATACACAATTTCTATGAAAATAAGAAAGGCTGGCATTTCTAGAAACTTCATTACCAAAGGAAGTGTTGAGAGTGATCTTATTCATTCCATAGTACATAGGAGGATTTTTTTTCAATTGTGCATGTAAGGATTATTCCTGGTAATGTTTGTTCATCGTGCTCAGGTGTTTCTGACCAGAGCTTCCATGTATAGCTCTGGCAAAAGGAATAGCCAGCGAGCGTGCTTTCACATTCCAACTACTTGCCTAAAAATAGTCCACCAACCAAAATGTCAAGACTATTTTGACATCAAGCATATTTACATAAATGCAAATACTACAGAAGCATATCAAGGAAGTAAATAGCTAAAGTGTCAAGTAGGTCCCTGAATACATATTATAATTCAGAGAAAAGAGGAATGCAGGAGGCAGGAGTGTGTTGCAGGACAAAGTGGAGAGTATAACAGTCATAGTGGAAAATAGATTGAAATATGTAAGACACAAACTGAAGGGAAGTGCATATGGGATAGGGTCATAGGAAACCCTGGAAAATAGTGGTACCAATATAGCAAATTCTATTTTTTCCTAAAATTCATGGTTACTTAGGTAATTCTCTTAAGGGAGGAGATATTCTCCATAGGTGGTAGATTTTAAGTGGGAAGATATTATGAATTGATTGATATTTCTTTTATCTCCTTGATTTTTATCTCCCCTTCCCTTGCCCAAATAACATTGTCTCCATTATGGACTATATTTTCTAATGACAGTGTAGCTCTAGTAATACACTTTTTCTTAGGAAATGCTCTTGTATAAGAGATGGGTCTGTCCACTATTTCAGGTATCAGCTTTAGTTCAGAATTTTATTTTGTTTCAAAGCTTTCATATGAGTGTGACTGATGTTGTTTTAAACTCTTGTAGACATATTTTTCCTGTTTTTCTAAAATTATAGTTAATTAACATATAATAACTGCACAGATTTTGGGGGCACACTATGATGCCTTTGTATATATAAACATTATATATAATCAAATTGGGTAATTCATGTATTTATCACTGTAAACATTACCAATACTGAATCATGAAGAAATAGAGAACCTGAACAGACCAATAACTGGTAATGAGATCGAATCAGTAGTTAAAATTCTCCCATCAGAGAAAAGCCCACAACCAGATGACTTCAGTGCTGAGTTTTACCAAATATTTAAAGAAGAACTAGTACCAATTCTTCTCAAACTATTCAAAACAACTGAAGTAGTTGAAATTTGTCCAAACTCATTCTATGAGGCCATCATTAACTTGATACCAAAACCAGAGAAACACACACACACACACACACACACACACACACACACTATAGATCAATATTACTTCTAACTGCTCTTTAAACTTTACAAAGTTAGGATCCATGAAAGACTTTTGGAGGTGTTTTGTCACTTCCAGTGACAAAAATCCCAGTTTTCTGTTGCTAAAAATCTAGGATCCAACCAAACTCACAAGAAAGAAATCACTCTCCCTGGGATTGAATATTTTAAATAAAAGCTTTGTTAAAAGTCTTCTATATACATACATTGGGACTTTGTTTTTGCTATAAGTCTCAGAGCCTGATTTGACACTAGGAAGAGGCTTATATAGAAATGTTAGGATTATGGTTTTTTATTACTCACTTAAAAAGTAGATGTCATAATGGAGATTCCTGATTATCAGATCAAGAAACTTGAAAATTGTAGGACACATGAGAGATTCAGGATTGAAATAATATAACAGCAGAACTTACCATTTATACCAGACGACACCTCAGTCTATAACTGAAGATCTTGACTCCATCTAGGAATTTGAATAATTGGATCTGAGCATACTGAGAATATAATGGAGGGAGCAAGGAGATCAAATTTTTTTTGCAAATATTCTGCAATGTATACCCTTTAATTTATTTAGAAAAAGTTGTTGAGTTGATAGAAATGGGTACATAGTTTCAAATATAAGAGGGTAAGTGATATCTAACGTTTTTTTGTTATCATATGTTATTTGAGTTTGAGTTTGATGATGCTCTATTAGAGTCTGAAACATACAATCTGTGTGTGGTTGGGTGTATCTGTATTCCCAGCTACTCAGGAGGTTGAGGCAGAAGGATCACTTCAGTCCAAGAGTTTGAGGCCAGCCTGAACAACATAGAAAGACCCACCTTAAAACAGAGAAACACCAAAAAATTAAATGAATGTTCTTTCTAGTTAGTTTGCTGGGGTGCTAGATTAAATGTGAGGGGGTAATATCATTAATATTTTATATTGATGGTATTATAATATTTAACCTATATAACAGTGTTCATTCTGAACAACATATATTCTTCTTGGGTAAACTTTTTTTGGAAGGGAGGCATAGTTATATGCTTAAATGTGAAGATAGGAACTATTTCTGCCATTTAGAGTACATTATCTACAGTATAATGATGTTTTTGCAATATATACCCTTTGCATTAAGGTTTTATACAAGCAGTAAATTGTGAAGAGATATATTTATAGTGCCTATTTCAGTAATTTATAGTAGAAAGCATTTAAATTTTTTATTGAATTAATGAGTAGTCAATTGAATAGTTAGTTACCGGCTATTTCCTCTTTGTGTACATCCCTGGAATGCCAATTAGTACTGGCTCTATTAGTGGTGGGTATCTGGAAGAAGATTTAGGTGTTCAGAATATGAACCTTAGAGCTATAGGACAGAAGATTTGGTGTTGGAATACAAGCAAATCTTAAAGATATCATAGGTTCAGTTCCAGACCACCACAATAAAATGAATATTGCAGTAAAACAAGTCATACAATTTTTAGGATATAATTTTTTTGTGCATTTAAAAATTATGTTTACATTATGCTATAGTTTAAGTGTGCAATAAAATTAGGTCTAAAACAATGTACATACTTTAATTAAAAATACTTTATTGCTAATGTGCTAACAATCATCTGAGCCTTCAGTGAGTCACAGCGTTCTTTATTGATGGAAGGTCTTGCCTTGATGTTTATGACTGCTGACTGGTTTCTGAGGTCTGGGGTGACTGTGGAAATTTCTTAAAATAAAATAATAATAAAGTTTGACACATCAATTGACTCTTTCTTTTATGAAAGATTTCTTTGTAGCATGCAATGCTGTTTGATAGTATTTTACCCACAAGTAGAATCTCTTTCAGAATTGGAGTCAACTTGCTTAAATCCTGATGCTGTTTTATCAACTGGATTCATGTAGCATCTAAATCCTTTGTTGTCATTTGAATAAAGTTCAAGGCATCTTTACCATGAATAGTTTTTTTAAAAATGTTTTTTAGTTATCAATGGCTCTTTATTTATTTTTATATGGTGCTGAGAATCAAATCCAGTGCCTCACACGTGCTAGGCAAGCACTCTGCCACTGAGCTACAACCCATAGTTTTTTTCTCAAGACACCACTTTCTTTGTAATTCCTTGTCCATTCAAATTTTATGAGACTGCAGCAGGTCAGTCACATCTTCAGGATCCACTTCAAATTCTAGTTCTCTTGCTATTTCTGCTACATCTGCAGTTGTTTGCTCCACTAAAGTCTTCAACTGCTCAAAGTCATCCATGAAGATTGGAATCAGCTTCTTCCAAATTCCTGTTAATGTTGATATTTTGACCTCCTCCTCCCATGAAACATGAATGCTCCTAGCTATATCTGAATCCTTCCCAGAAGGCATTAGTTTCCTTTGTCCAGATGGATCAGGGGAATCACTATCTATGGCAGGTATGGCCTTATGAAATATAAATAAACCTTGAGAGATTACTTGATCCACAGACTGTAGAATGGACATTGTGTTAGCAGGCATGAAAACAATCTCCTTAGATATCTCCATCAGAGCTCTTGGGTGATTAGGTAATTTTTAATGAACAGTAATCTTTTGAAAGGAATCTTTTAATGTATGACTATGTAACAACAAATCCCATCAATATGTACAACTATAATGCACCAATTAAAAAATGGGGGGAAAAAGAAAGGAATCTGTTTTCCTGAGAAGTTCATCTCAACAATGAGCTTAAAATATTCAGTAAGCACATGTGCTTTCATCTGGGCTTTATTGTTTCATTTATGGAGGATAGACAGAAATCTAGTATAACTCTTGAAGGCCATGGGATTTTCAGAACAGTAAATGAGCATTGGCTTCAACTTAAAGTCATCAGCTGCATTAGCCCATAAGAAGAGAGTCAGTCTGTGCTTTGAAACCAGGCATTAACTTCTCCTGTCCAGCTATGAGGATTATAGGTGGCATCTTCTTTCAATATAAGGCTTTTTCTTTTTCATTGAAAAAAATGTTATTTAGTGTAGTCACATTCACAAATTATCTTAGCTAGATCTTCTGAATAGCTTGCTACAGCTTCTATATCCTGCTCCTTCCTCTTCCACTTTTATGTTATGGTGATGGTTTCTTTCCTTAGATCACATGAACTAACCTCTGTTAATTTTAACATTTCTTTTTCAGCTTCTTCACCTCTCTAAGTCTTCATAGAATTTGAAGACAGTTAGAGCCTTGTTCTCTATTAAGCTTTGGCTTAGGGAAATAATGTTCTAATTATTTGATCTTCTACTCAAACCAGCAAAACTTTCTCTTTATTGGAGATAAGCCTATTTTTTTATGTGTCCACTGGAGTGGACTCCTAATTTTCTGAAGAAGTTTTCCTTTTCATTCACAACTTGGCTGTTTGGTGCAAGAGGGCTAGCTTTCAGCCTATCTCAGTTTTCAACATACCTTCCTCACTAAGCTTAATTGGGTTTTAGCTTTTTGTTTAAAGTGAGAGATATTTAACTCTTACTTGAACACTTGGAGGCCACTTTAGGGTTAGTAATTGGTCTTATTTCAATATTCTTGTGTCTCAGGGATTAAGGATGCTGGAGGAAAGGGGAAAAGATGGGGAGTGTTTAATCAGTGGAGCAGTCAAAATACATACAACATTATTAAGTTCTCTATCTTACATAGGTACAGATTGTGGTAGCCCAAAACAATTATTATAGTGACATCAAATATCACTTAGTGCAGATCACCATAATGGATATAACATTAAAAGTTTTAAAGTATTGTGTTAATTACTAAAATGTGATACAGAGACACAAAATGAGCACATGCTATTGGAAAAAAATGGTGTCAATAGACCTGCTTGGTATGAGATTGCCATAAACCTTGAATTTATATTAAAAAACTACTTCAGTATCTACAAAGTACAATAAAGTGAAGCACAATAGAATGAAGCATTTCTGTAGCAAAAATTTGTGGTCAGATTGTAAAGCTGCCTTATTTCTGGAAGATAACTCAAACTGAGCTGCTCAAGAGACAGAGAACAACTAGACAACTCTCTGAAGTGGACTGAGTGGAAGAAGTTGATGGTGATGTTGTAGAGGGTATTTTAAACTTCTGACCTTCCATTTCCTTGGGAAATGACATTTTCAAGGTACATGACCACAGGAATGGGTTCCCAGTGCCATGATTCAGTATAATACTTTTCCTATGATCATAATTGATTGAATCAGAGTAGATCTCAGACTTCCCTCAGCTTTTCAGTTTCTTACCTGAGGATTTAAAATTGGGATATATGGAGAAAACTTTTTCTGTCATCAAGCTTATTATATGTGCAGCAAATACAACTCTTAACTTCACGAATGGATGTGAAAGAAATGCCACATTGTTATATTTTAGTTTAGTTAAATCTGACTCTAAATCTCTACTCTTTTGATCTAGTGAGAAATTAAATCCATGTCATTTTTGTGGCCCTCTCCCAACCTCTAAGACACAGAAAGATATGAGAAGCTTCTATGGTCCTTGAATAATTGATATGAATGGATATAAACTTTCATATCCCAGAGAGTACAAAGGAAGAATATAAAGGACTTGGCTACATTTTTTGAATGACACAGGACAAACTAGATGGAGAGGAAATAGTCCCACAAGTTATGACAAATTTTACTGCTACTTATTTAACTTTGGTGATGTTGAGTGGACATTTTATGAATACCCTTAGAGTAGTCTCCCCAAGTCTCTGAGATTCTTCCTTTTTGGTTATTATACTGTTATAATCTATAAAGCCAAGCCCAGAGCCATAGAGATGCCTCTAAATATTTGTCATAGTTGTTTTTATGTATCAACTTGGGTAGGCTACAGTTTCTTCACTATTCAATCAAATGCCAATCAACAAGGTTCAGATACAACTTACAGAAAGGGAAAAATCCTTCTATATGTCTAATACAGGATTCATATCCAGAATATATGAGGAATTCTAATAACTCAATAGCAAAAGAAAGAACAATTTTAAAATGGGCCATAAATCCAAATAGACATTTCTCAAAAGAAGGCTTAAAATGGCAAATCAATACATGAAAAAAATGCTTAAAATCACTAATCATCAGAAAAGTGCAAATCAAAGCCAGAATATCACTTCATCCCAGTGAGAATGGCTATTCTCAAAACAAAGATAACAAGTGCTGGTGAGGATGTAGAGAAAAGGGAACACTTGTACACTGTTCATGAGAGTATAAAATAGTATAGCCATTATAGAAAACAGAATGAAGGTTCCTTGAAAAATTAAAAGCAGATCTACCATATGATCCAGAAATCTCACTACAGGGTATATATCCAAACGAAATGAAATCAGTATGTTGGAAAGACCCCTGCATGCCCATGTTCACTGCAGCACTATTCACAATAGCCAAGGGATGGAAACAACATAGGCATTCATCAATTGATGATTGGATGAAGAAAATGTGGTATATATATACAATGAATATTATTTAGTCATAAAAAGAATTAAATCCTGTCATTTGCAACAATGTGGATGGAAGTAGAGATCATTGTGTTAGTGAAATAGGGCAAGCATAGACAGACAAGTGCCTTATGATTTCACTGCTGTAGAATCTTTTCAAAAGTTGATCTCATACAAGTTGAGAGCAAAAGGGCATTGCCAGAGGCTGAGTAAAGTTGGGAAGCATGGGGAAAGGTTTATCAGTGGGTTCTAAGCTACAGGTAGATAGGGGAAAGTTCTCATGTGCTGTTGTATATTAGGTAGCTATAGATAACAATAATGTATTATAATTTTTAAAGGTATTTTGTTTATTTTTATGTGGTGCTGAGGATCAAACCCAGGGCCTTGCATGTGCTGAGCAAGTGCTCTACTGCTGAACCACAACTCTATCCCCCAATATTATAAATTTTAAAAAGCTAGACAGGCACAGTGTCATATGCCTGAAATCCCAGCAGCTCTGGAGGCTGAGGCAGGAGAATTGTGAGTTCAAAGCCAGCCTCAGCAATTTAGCAAGGCCCTAAGCAACTTAGCAAAGCTCTAATCAACTTAGCAAGGCTCTGTCTCTAAATAAAAAATAAAAAAGGGCTGGGGATGTAGCTCAGAGGTTAAGCATCCCTGAGTTCAATCAAACTAATAATAAAAAATTAAAGCTATAAAAAATGATTTTGAAAGTTTCCACCACAAATAGATGATTAACATTTGAGGAGAGATATGTTTAACCTGATTCAAACATACATGGTGTGTACATGTGTTGAAACATTATATGGTACCTCATTAATATGTATATATTTTATATTTATGTATCATTTTAAATAAATTAAATTTAAAAATTAAATGTAGGTATTGCTGTGAAAGTGCTTTCAGATGCAGTTAAAGTCCAAATAGTTGACTTGAAATAAGGGAGATTATCCTAGTAATCTGGGTAGGTCTTATCCAATAAATTGAAAGGCCTTAGCACAAAAGCTGAAGATTCCCTGAAGAATAAATTCTGCCTATGGGTAGCAGCTTCAGCTTGTGCCCAGGAGGTCTGGACTCCCCTTCCTGATGTTCTCCCCTATGGACTTTGGATTTGCCTAGTCATTCTTCACAATCATATAAGCCAATTCCTTATAAAAATTTTCTTAAAATATACCTTATATATTATTATCTATATATCTCTACATATGACATCTATTATATAGATATTAATATTTACAATTGTTACATGATTGAGTTCCCACTTTTCCCAGTCTGGCTGATTAGTTCAAGGATAGCTAGATCTAATCAAAACTGGTCAATCATATGCCCTCTATTGTAAAGCTATATTTTTGAACTTAGACACAGAGACTAAAAGTGGTTAACTGTATTACTTCAGTGGAACTGTATTACAAGGACAGCTCAAAAACTCCTATTGCTGAGCCTCCCCCAATTTCAGTGGTAATCTGAATATTGTGACAGATCCCAGTTTCATGATGATAAATTCCACTTACTTTTTCTTCAGATAAAGTTGGTTTCTGATTTTCACAATTTGACAATTTTAAGTGGAAAGACAACAGGCAGTACTTGGAGGAAGTGGAGTTACTAGGATTATTACAATTAGAATGTATTATTTCTCCATGAGATGCTTCACTTTAATTTTAACTGATAGGTACAGATAATTGAAACTAAACATCTAAAGAATGATATGAATAATCAGAGTAATAAGAAATGGAATTCTACCTAGAAAACAATCATAGGGTTTTCTAATAAATCTTGGAAAATGTCCTGAAAGAAATATGTGCCTGGATATTGAGGGTTGTCTACCAAGGGAAGTAAAAGATAATTTTGGATTGGGCTGTCACTCACTAGAGACCCTTTGCTCAGTATGTTACTGCATGCCAGAGTCTGAAGTTTTCATAATTTCCCAAGTTGGTGGATACAATACAGATCTATAGCTAGCTACTCTGGTTGTCACTGAGGGCTCAAAAATCAGTTAAAAGATTGGAAACTAAGTAAAGAAGGTGTTATGGGTAGCACCATGGGCCATCCTTCATAAGAAACATCAAATTCCTGAGCAAAAATGTGTCAGAATCAACTTTGTAAAAACTCTGGAAAACAGTCAAAGGTTTATAACAATCAAGCATATGCTGAATCAAGAAAAAGGCAACTTTAAAATGGAGGAGAGCTTTGTAGCAGGGTTTGTTAAATTTTAAATCCCTATCTTAACTCCTCTTCAGTTCAGCTAGTCTTGAAAAGAGAAACCTACATTCTCAACATAGGATCTGGTTCCTGACTCCAAAGGGAACAGAGCAAATATTATTCTCAAATTTGTCCACATATAAGTAGGGGACACTTAAGGGACTAGTAAAAGGGGCTCATCTCTATTTCTCCTATGCGGAGCTTACTCAAAGTGGAAAAGTATATATGTAAAGGGAATCTTCCAAAAACATTCTAAGGCAAATGAACAGTATACTGCTACTTGGAACAAAACAATAAAGTTGAGGTTGTTAAAGACAAAAATTAGGGTTTTCTGATAAATCTTTAAATTATTTAAAATTATTTAAATTATTTTAAATGCTTTTAAATTAAGAAAATAATTAAAATTATTCATGATACTTGTTAGATACATTTAAATTACAAGTGATTTATTTGATTTGGGGGATTATAACAATGAGGTTCTGTAGAAGGTAAGAAAGATTGGGCACACTTCCATATATAACAAAGACAAGTAGAGATTTATAGCTGATGAAAAGAATAGGAGACAGAAGAAACATTAGGGTAGGGGGATTCTGCCTTGACAGAATTATTATTAAAAGCAGGCCAGGATAATAAGATATTGAGAATGAGGAATCCTTATTCAAATGGGGAATCAGATATCAATGATGAGGGATTTTCACTAAACTAACCCAGCAGGATTCTTTATAAAAATGCACTAAACAAGCAAAGCTACTAAACTAAGGACAGAGCCCAAGGTTAGGGACTAGTCAGTAAGAGGACCCAGAGGAACCTGACTAAAGCCTGATCAAATGAATGACTTCTTTGTCAAGGTGATCAATAGACAGGTTGAAAGGCTGATGAAGGGGTGGATATGTGTTTCCTTGCAAAAATCAAGGGATTCAAAAGCATGAACATATATTTGGGAATTTAGAAAGATCTGCACATAACCAGGGAAGGATACAATTCCTAAAAGATCTGAGAAGACCCTGACCTTTCAGATCTGGCTTATCTCTATGCTCAGTACAAGCAATAGGTAAAGGATAAGTCAGAGTTGTAAATGGGTTGTCCATGTGTTGAATAAGTGCCCAATACAGAGCCACTAAATAATATCTGGGAAATTTTCTCTTTTTTCTTGCCTTGATATTTTCCTTTTTGCTTTAACTCTAGGCATTCAAGGAAATCTCTGTAAAAGAACATTAACTGACCACAAGTTATACGAAAAGAGACTTCAGAGATCATACACAAAAATAATGTAGACTTTACAAAAATAGTCTAGAAACATTACTAAGCAAACAACCACAAGCCACAGCAAGCAACAAAAATAAACCACAAAAAGGGAACATAATCTAATATGTAGACTTACCCTATTGTAACATTCAAAATTTCCAGATTTCAAGAAAATATTATGAGGTATATAAATGAACAAGAAAGTATGGCCTCTTCTCAAAACAAATTAGCTAAAATGTTCTTGAGAATGAATAGATGTTGAATTTATTAGGCAAAAAATAATCTATTTTAAATACACACAAACACCTAAAAAACCAGGAAAAGAATGTTTTAACAAATAGAAAATATCAATAATAATATAGAAATTATAAAAAGGAACCAAACAAATTCTGAAGATGATAAGTAAAGTAGTTATATTGAAAAAAATCAAGTAGACAGGTTCAGCAGCAAACCCTCAGCAAGCAGAAGAAAAAAACAGCAAATATGAAGATGGAACAATCAAAATGATCTAATTTGAGGAGCAGAAATAAAAAAGAATAAAGAAAAGTAAACAGAGCTTTAGAATTCTATGGGCCATCACAGGCTTTATCCCTACCTTTAGACTCAAAATGAAACATTGACTTTTCCTGAATCTTGATCATACCACCTTTTTGACTAAAATGAAAACATTTGTTCTCCAGCTTGCTGACATACCTTGCTAATGTTGGGACTTGCCATCCATAAAATGTGTAAGCCAATTCCTTATAATAATATATAAATAAAATCATAATACAAATAAAGTATAACTTTCTCTGAAGATCCCTGAGCAATATAGCTACTACAAACAAAAAACCAAAAACCCAGAAAATAACAATTGTTCAGTGAGAATGTGGAGAAATTGTATACTTGTAGATAGAATGTAAATGAAGCAGTTACTATAGAAGATAGTACAATGAATATTTGGGAAAATTATAATATGAGCTAGCAATTACAATTTTCAGTATTCACCTAGAAAAATTGAAAGCAAGATCTCAAAGAGATATGTGTATACTCATCCATAGAAACCTTACTTGCATTAGAAAAAAGAAAAACAACTCATCTATCAGTCAATGAATGTCTAAACCTATAGCATATTATCCAGTCTTTAAAAGGAAGGAAAATCTGACAATGCTACAATGTGAATGAACTTTGATGACATTATAAGTAAAATAACCCCATCACAAAAATATGAATACTGTATGTTTTCATTAAGATGTGTATCTGAAGTTGTCAAATTCATAGGAAAAAAGTAGAATGGTATTTACCAGTGACTTGGAAAAGAATGAAAATGGAGATTTTGCAGGACATAGAGATTCAGTTTTGCAAAACAACAACAATAACAACAACAACAAAAACTTCTGGAGATCTATTTCACAATAATGTGAATATACCTGACACTACTGAAATATACATTAAAAAGTATTTAAGATGGACATACACACACACACACACACACACACACACACACACACATTCCATTTGCCCACTGACCTTTAAAAGGTCTACAAAAATTGTTGGAAACTGCATATGGAATATTCCTTGGGATAAAGCACATAATAGGACACAAAGGAAGTCTGAATAAATTAAAAATGGAAATCATACAAAGTATATTCACCAAACACTATGAAGTGAAACTTAGACATCAGTAACAGAAAGAAATTTCAGAAATTCACAAATATGTAGAAATTAACACAATCTTGAACCATCAATAAATAATGGTTCAAAGGAGAATCACAAGAGAAATTAGAAAATACTTTGAATCAAATGAAAATGAAAACCCAATATACCCCAAACTTAAATAATATAGTGAAAACAGAACTTAAAGGAGAAATCATAAACGTCTACACTAAAAAAAAGAAATAGTAAGAACTTGGGATCAGCAAGGTGGTAGAATAGGACTTTCCAGTGCTTATCCACCCAACAGAAACATCAATCTGAAAAACTATCAATGTAGAAAAATACA